GGACAGACTCTCACTGTCCATATTAAATGCAAGAAATTATAAAAAATATTAGACTCTATATAAGTCATTTTACTCAAAGGTTAGTATAGCATTCCAGTTAAATTTTCCATAGGAATATGTGAAATGGGATTTTCTAATGGTATTTTCATTGAGTTATTAATATTCAAAGAAAGTTTCTTTTAGTTTGCCAAAATTAATGTTGTAGAATGTTTAGGAGGGGAGTTAATCACCGCGACCTTATAGATCTATTGTGTGTTCCCCTTTCTTGAGTTATAACGAGTTATAACCATTATAAAACTCATCATACAGTCTCAGGGCTTTAACAAAAGCCAGTATCTGAGACGGCTCCACAGAGGCCAGCTCTCCATCCTCGATATCAGCCGTACCAAAGTTCATGGCACGCAAATACGTTTAAATAAAATATACGACGGCCTCCCCATAAGAGCAATGAGAGGATTTACGTCCCAGTATTGAAGGAGGACAGAAAATCGAGTCGAATGGTTTCAAGACATAGGTTCATCCTTGTTTAGTCAAACCTCCTACAAACCAAGGATAGACTTATGTAGGAAATGCATTGAAATTCTATAGCCATCCTTCAATATCGGGGAGGAATTTAAGCGGTACCCTCCGTATACTTTATTTTAAACGTATTTGATGACACGAATGGTCGTCGTCTCGGCGCACTCAGTGATTATGTGTTCTGGTGTTTCTCTATTTTCCCCACGGAATCTGCATTCGCCGTTGTTTCTCAGCTTCAGCCTATTGAGGTGTTCGTTGAGGAGACAGTGTCCTGTTAGAAACCCCGTGACAATCCGAAGATTGTTTTTACTTAAATCAAGGAAATGATTTTTGATTTGGCTTTTTTTTGTCTTTGATTTTTCTCGGTCGTAAGTTCTGAGGAACTTTTTCGAGTGTCTTAGACCGTTGGAGGACACCCATTCCAAGTTACGGATGGAGTCTTCCAGATTCTTCAGTTCCGCTTTCAGTTGGTTCCCGTCCAGTTCTGGTCCAGTTAGTGGAGTGTTCGCTCCTTTCCTAGCTAGATCATTTGCTTTTTCATTGCCTGCCACTGGTTCTATCCCTTGGTGAATAGGCACCCAGAGTAGGAGGACTTTATTTTCTTTGCCTAATTTGTTGAGCTTCTCTAGGTATTCTTTGACCAACTTCGAATTGATGGTTACTGAGTTGCTCGCATTAAGTGCTGCTTGACTATCGGATAGGATAGCAATTTCCTGTTTTCGATAGTTCCTATCTAAGATAAATTTGTACGCATCTTTCGATAGCGTAAATTTCTACCTGAGGGATACTGGGGTAGGTGCCCATTGGTTAAAATTAATGTTAGTCTTCCTCAAAATCTTAAATTAAAAGAGGTTCTATATCAAAAACAACCAGACATACTGAAAAATGAAATTCTAATTCTTATTACCAGTTTAAATTTTCTATAAATTATTTAAAATCAGCCATGTATGACTATCAAGAAATCAACGACATAAAAGATATAAACACCATTCCCTTGTTTGCATTTGGTCCATAAATGAAATACATTTTTATTATTGTTAATAAGTTTATTAAAATATTGCACAACCAAAAAGAAATAAAAAAAAATAAATAATTTTAAAACCTACAACATAGCATTCATTACTATATTTGATGATATGTTTTAAAGATGCAATAAATAACAGTTGCTTCATATAAAGTAAAATGTTATTTATCACCTACCACAGAACAAAAATGCAAAGAAGGAATGAGCACAGGTGTCAGAGGTGAAATATATGCTCATAGGGTAGGTACAGGGTAGGTACTAATTTGGGTACTAATATAAAAAAAAATTAAAAAAAAACACTTGTATGTTTGTATCACGCATTATGAAGAAAGCTAAAGTAGAATATGTACATTAAGTATATAGAATATAATTTGCTTTTTTATCTACAAATTCTAATAGTTATAGGTAGGTACATTTTCTGTAGTTTCTCCTACACTTATCTATAATAAATATTAATGTTAATGAACATTGTTAAAATTATCATTTTATAACTGAAATAAAAATCAATAAAACTACAACATACAAAAAATAGCATTACAACAAAGACAATACCTAAACTCCCAATTTCAATTTCTTATGCCCCATTTATAATCTCTAATAATTATTAATATAAATATATAAATAAATAAAATGTTTACAGTCTTCCCCTGTTTTAAAACTATCAGAAAATGTTTAGCGACTGTTTTTAGATTATAAATATGATTTTTCAGGAAAATCAAGGGAACATGACAGTCTAAGATCTTAATATAATTTCGCTATGTTTTGATTAAAATCATATATTGATTAATTTTAATACTTATAATCACATACATATGTTTGCAATGTTATTGTATTGTATTATTTATACAGGATAATGTAAGATTTGTCAAGAAAGCATAAAGCATAGTTTAAGAAAAAATACTTTATATTAATGTTTTTAGTTTTATATACCGGGTACATCTCGAAAGTGGCTCACCCTTATAACTTTTTAATTTTTTCAGATAAAAAACGATATTTAGTGTGTTAGTTAGTATATGACATAAATTAGGATTCATTGACGTATTCAATTATTTTTGGTCACTGCCTGTTATGTCATATACTAACATACCAAATCTCGTTTTTTACCTGAAAAAATAAAAAAGTTATAGGGGTGGGCCACTTTTGAGCCACACCCGGTATTTTGTAGTTCAATGTATAGAATGTAAAAAAATTAAACAGTCTTACAGATGGAATTACAATATTTTCTAAATGGAATAGTTACAGTCACTTGTTTCAATTCTTTGTTAACAAATATTTATCCAACTAAAATTGAAAATATGTGAATTCTATGTAAAATATAATAATTGACAAGCACTTAAAAACCACTGTTGTTTCCTAACATTTTTATGATAGGTATATAGTTTTTGTCACGTAATTTTTCCTAGTATGGCGGAAAACGATCCGTCAAAGCAAACAAAATTTTTAAAAAAATTATGTACTAGAGTTAGAAATAAATTAATATTAGAAAACTCGTTAACTTCATTATTTAATAAAAAATATATTTTTAATTACTTGAACAACGTTTTTACTTAAAAATAGCCAGATCGCAGAAACGTTAAATAAGAGGCTAAAAATTAAATTATACAGGGTCGCTGATATGTATGGGAACGGTCGATTATTGTGTAAAATATACAAGGTACCGCAAAAAGTTAAATACAAAAGTTATAGGGTTTTTAAATGTCTATTAGCTAGTAGTAAATTGAAGTATACAGGGTCGGTCATAAAGTAGTGGCACTTCAAAATATACTTTTTTTAAATACAATTTTAAGCAATAATCGTAAAGTCAACCATTTCCGAGTTATCAAGTTTTGATTATGACATGTTAAAGAAAATTTTGTAATTTCCAGACTCAATATAATCTCATTTTATTCATCTATAAATGCTAACTTGAAAACTAACGTCAAATATTATTAAGTATCACAGTTTCCGCGGAATGGCATCAATCAATGAAACCAAACACATCTAAATTAATTAAATGCAATTGTTTAAATGATATTTTCAAAAGTCAATAACTCGGAAACGGTTGATTTGAGGTACATTAGATATCTCGATTTTAGTTTAGAATTGAAGGAAGAATTGAAATATGCAATAATATACAGGGGAGGTTGTTTTAAAAAAAAAGTAAATCTTGATGTGCCACGACTTTATGACTGACCCTGTATACTAAAATTTATTACTCGCTAATAGACATTTAAAAACCCTATAACTTTTGTATTAAACTTTTTGCGGTACCTCCTATATTTTACCTAATAATCGACCGTTCCCATACATATCATCGACCCTGTATAACATCAATATATCTTAAAAAATGTCTATATTTATGTGGCGGATTCATCTTTCCAAAAAAATCCTTTATGGGTATTTCGCCACTGCACTGCAAGAAAATCTACAAAATAAAATAATTATTTTTTGTAAACACTTCTGCGTTAAACCTAAACGGACACTGCTTGTCAGAAGTTATGTTTACAGTAATACAAATTTGCCTAACAAAGAAAAAAAAAATACTTAACGTTTCGGAAAGTTATCTCTTTCCGTCGTCGGAAGCAAAAAAAATACAAAGAATAAAGAAAAAAACTATTTAAAATATTTAAATTCAACTATTCGAGAACACTTTACTTTTTTAAAACAGATACGTCTACAAGAAACCGTTGACGTTCTGTTAAAATGACATTTTTTTTAACTTGATATTTAAACTGAAAAATTCAAAATTAACAATTACTACCTGATAACAATTACTTAATAAGGTAAAACCAAAAAGCCCCAAACTTTCTGTATGATTATTTTTAAATTTTACATAGGTTATGTTTATTTATCTTGTTGTATCTATTGTTCTTTAAAATCAAAGAACCAATTGCCATACATTAATAACATCTACAGAGGCATGAGCAATACATTTATTTTTATTAGATTGAATTAAAAAAGCCTCTTTTATTTTTCTTTTAGAGGCTATCGCTTCTTTCATTATAATTTTGGCGTTATTTGGTATATTACATTTTTTGTTTAAAAAATTTTATAATTTTTTTTTACATTTTTAGGTTTAACGCAGAAGTGTTTACAAAAAATAATTATTTTATTTTGTAGATTTTCTTGCAGTGCAGTGGCGAAATACCCATAAAAGATTTTTTTGGAAAGATCAATATATATTAAAATTCAAATTAAACAAATTATAATGCAGTGTTTACTACAGAACATATTTATTTGTTCCACTCTTTAGGTATCTTTTGCTTCAGACAAACTGATACCAGGCATGTCACTGAGGAAAAGTATCATGAGAAAAACTATAGTGATTCCATTATGTTACAACATAATATTTATATTATAGGTTGTCCAATGCAAGAAAAAATATTTATTACCAAATGTTATATTAGCCACATCAAGTACTAGGAGATTCATCAAATATTCATTTCTTTATAGACAACCTACATATATACAAATAGTTTCAGTATATTTTTATCAGTATATCTTCAATTTGAAGCTACTTTAAGTTGGTTTGTAGGACAATAATATTCTTTAAGAAGTATGCTTACTACACTAGGTGCTTTTTAAGTTTCTTCATTAACAACTGAATTCAAGGGACGTAGGACAATTCTTGGGTCATTTTCCACCATCCGGTCAGCATCTTCATTGCTACAAATGTCAATATTGTAATGTTTCTTTTTCTTATTACTTTAAAACAAATATACCTAATTTCTTTAGTTTCATGGGACATAAGTTTACTTTGTTCTGTATCGTCTGATTTAGTTCCTTCGTACACTACTTCCGAAACAGGGGCATACTGAGCTGTGACAAGTAAATCTGTCGATGGATTTACAGTCAAGTTCTGGCCTCCAGAAGTACCGAGGTGGTCCTTGGCGTTGCGCCAACACATTCTCCTTGTTATTCTCATAAAGAACACTAAAATTGAATACAATTTATATATTTCTGATATACAAAATAAAATATAATGAAAACGGTGCCAAAGTTGGCTTGGAAAAGAATATCACAATAATTCGTTACATCCAAGTCGACTTTATGGCTTCTTTTTAAATCATATGGTATATTATTAGAGAAGAAACTTACGAAACAAAAGAATTGAAAGCGCAAAGAATAAAGCCCCAAATATTGTAACAATCAAATAAACATCTTCTTTATTTTCTGAAGTTTCTGAATATCCAAGGGCACCGTTAATTAACATAGCTAATCTAAAATGCATATTTATGTAAAAATAATGTTACAAGATGTAATATAGTACTATAGTTACCCAAGAGCAAAACAGGCAATACATGATGTTATTAAGACCAAAGGCAATACATTTCGAGATGGCAAACAAGATAAACCACAGGGTCGTCTGCCAGATTGTGAAATTGAGCCAAGGTACGATATTGGCCTGTCCTGCCAGCGGTCAGCGGGACCATTCGATTCATAAGTCACTGTAGTAGGCTGATATACTGCTCCGGACATTTTGTAACTATGTTTTCTTGAACTGAAATAGAGATTGGTTAAATTAACAAGGAATAATCGTGAACATACCAAGATTATAGGAACTCTAAATCGTATGCATTTTAAACTGTGTTGTGGATCAATATTATACCTAAATATCAAGCTAAAGGGCATAAATTACCCTTTATGACTATTTCAAGGTCTAATTTCATCAATACAAATTTTCTTAAGTTATTTAATAAAGGAAATATTTGTTTATACACACATTTCTTGTCTTTCGTATTGGGTTACACAAAATATTTGCAGTATAGGATGTTTATAGGTGAGATAAGAAATATTTTAGTAAACATTTGTCAAATGATGGAAACAAAACAAAAGAGTGAGGTTAAGTTACCAAACAACTGAAAAAAGGACAGTTTAAAAACAAACGTTGAAAACGCACTTCTCCCACAGCCACCTCATCGTTCCCGCAATTTCTGTTGAAAGTTGAGTAGTTTAGAACTACTGCAGTTGGAAAAAATCATGAAAACGCCGAAGATCTGCAACGTGAAAGAGCACTTACTTGTCTGTATCGATTTTCTCGCAGTTGCTCCGATTCTCCAGCCTTTAGAAACACATTTCCAGGTCACTTTGTTGTTTTGGTCGCGGATGGAACTGAAACAATTGAATGGCTACGGCTCACCGAGGAAAACCAGTTAAGGCCTGAAATTACGTAGGTACTATCGTCTTTTTTTAGCGGCGTTTTTGGTTCGTCCGCCGTACACGAGAACCGTCTGTAAAACTGCTTTATGGTTCATTACCTGTTTTGGTTAGTTCCTGCGAGCGTAACATTAGTAAAAGTAGTTCAGGAGCGCAGCGACATTACCTTCCGTATTAATTCTTGTTTTCTGCTGGGTATTTTTGTTAATGAGAATGCTACCGATACTTTTTTTGTGATATTACAACCACATAAATATTCGTAAATGTAACAGTATCGGGAATAGGGGAATGGAAAGTGATTTTTATAAGATTACATAAAAGAGGTGCGACACTCATCAATAAACTGTAAAAGATAAAATGACTCATAAAAGGTAGAAGGGGCATGATTGCGCTGGATAGACATTCACTTGGAGTTCCCTGTCTGCTAATTCTTAATTAGTAGTAGGAATAAATTTATATGAAAATACATTAACAGAATTATTCTTTAATAAACGCAATTAAAGAAATCTGCGTTTAATTTTCTTTATATTTTTTTAAATCACCCTTGGCCAATTTAGTATAGTAATCTAGTAAACATTTCACTAATAAGCTATTTGTTTTTGACTTAATTTGCTACGGTTAAACACAAAACACTAATCCTATGATAGTAATTTTGGTTTTGGTTCTGTCAGTTCTGTTGGAGCACTATGTTAGAATGCACTGGCCTGTAGTAACACTTTTCACTACACTAGTTCAAATGGTTTTGTTCTTTTCAGTCTTCTAACTAAGCCATCACTATCCAGGAGCTATTTGATAGGTGGGCCTCGATATTAATATTAATGTGCTAATGACATGTTTTAAGGCATATTTCCTGATAACGCTGTCCACATCATCCATTTCTAACTCCTTATGTAGATTGCCATTGCGAATATACCACGGTGCGTCAACAATACCTCGTAGTATCGACAGGCGTGCCCACGGGGGCGGGGGGCGTGGCCCCCCCTAATCAGCATAAATAATAAGTAAAAAAAGACCTTAAACGAAAACCCATAAAAAAAAATTCCGTTGGAAAAGAAATTATTTTAGCTATAAAATATTTTCCGTTCGGGAAAATCAATTTTCTGCGTGCGGAAAGTGTTGCTTTGCGCACGCTCTTATAAAAAAATTTTCGCTTACGGCGCTATTTTTTTCTCCGTTTCGTAATCTTTAACTCTGGCCCCCCCTTATTAAAAAGCCTGGTCACGCCTATGGTAGTACCTTGTTTTGGAATCTTTGGATAATATTTCGGTTGCTTTGTTTGGTACATCCCCAGAGTTTTTTTTTTTGAATACCATAAGTCCTCCATATTGGCTTCAGGACTTGTTGGTAAAGCAAAAGCTTATTATATATTGACAGGGTTGAATGTCCTGTACTTTTTACTTTTTTAATTTTCCTGTACTTTAATTTGAGTTCTTCGCATGCGATTTCCACCTGAGTTTAGCATCAAGTGTCATGCCAAGATATTTAGCTGTTCTTTGTAAAATAGGTAAATAAAAATATATCGGCGTTGCCCACTAGAAGATTTGTTAACCACAACACGTGTATCACGCTAATTGGCACTAGAAAAGTAAGTGCGGCGCAAATCAAGTTACCGGGTGGACAAGTCGGGGAAAATGAAATTTAAGACATTAATTTGCAGCTTTGATAATCGCTCAGGATTGTGAGCTTCACTAAGAACAGATATGGAGGCAATCAACAGTAACCGTTAGAATACCCTTAGTCGAGTAGTTAATAAAAGGGATAAACAAAATTACGGGTGTAGTAATAAGTACAAAACAATCATCGGTATAGTCAGCTAGGAAGATGATTAATCAAAGACGTGTATTTTGTTCATTGGCACTCATTGGGTGCAAACCAAGTGATGGGATGGGCAAGTTGGAGATGGCGAGAAATATGGAACAAACACGAATTCGGAGGCACCAATTTGCAGCATTGATCCAAAAACGCTCAGGATTGTGAGCTTGATTAAGAACAGCTATGGAGGCAATCAACAGTCACCCTTAGGATACTTTAGCCTTAGCCGAGTAGAGAATAAAAAAGGATGAACATTATTACGGGTGTAGTAATAAGTACAGAACAATCATCGATGTAGCCAGCTAGGAAGATGGCTAATCGAAGACACGTGTAGGTGCCTTATTGTCGCTCATGCCAGTGGCGTAACAACAGACTCACGGGCCTGTGTGCAAAAATTTTACCGGGCCCCCTATTACACCTACATATTTCAATACTTATAAACTAATCTGAATATGCACTCATATTTTAGGTTAGAAATAACATTATCAAATTAATTTTTATATAGTATTATTTATTACTGCAACACAGAATGTGTAACCCAAAACATATAAAATATCAAATAAATAAAAACAAAATAAAAAATTCACAGTCCTTTACAAAGATGCAACCGGGGGGGGGGGCATTGAAAATGATGAATAAAAACGTAAAAATATGATTAGTGTTAATATGAGTGTATTACATACATATGTTTAAATAACGAACTTAACAAAAAACAACAGATTTAAAGATTCACTGAAAAAGTAGTAATGTTAACATTAAATAAAACATTATCAATAATAATTATGCGATCACACCTATCCGTAAAACAAGCAAGCAAAAAAACCTCGAAAAAAAAATAAAATACAAAACATCAGGTTAACATGATGACAGATCATGATCAATGACAGATAAAGAATTCTTACGGAAAGTTACACTTTACGATATAATTTTTTAACTGTTAAAGGCAAACCCCATTTAAACACAAAACTTTTTAATACCTACTACTGTATCTAAAAGACTTTTTTTAAATTACTAAATTCTTAGCCACGCTTCTGTTTTTTTTTGGCTGTTGTGCGTCACGTCACAGATTAACAGGCCCACGTTTGCACCACAAGGCGATGCTGCAGACCACTAGGTAGATCGGTCGTAGAAATTTATGTTATACAACTTGTAGTCAATCTACACAAATATTATCAAAAACTTTTTTCTTTTAAAAATGTGTTCAGATTTTGTAAAAGTATAAGTCAAAATCGCAAAACTTAAATTTGATATGAGTTTCTTAGTTTTTAACTAATATAGTGGCGAATTACAAAATTCCTTTTCAATGAAAATTAATGAGTTAAATAAAATAATTTAATAAATTACTAGCTTTTTTCTCGCGACTACGTTCGCGTTACACCTCGAATCGTTCATGCATTGATTTAAATTATTTTTTACTTCTTTATAGAGAGCTAGTGAGCATAGATGTTTTTTTTATTTATTAAGAGCACTAATACTCTCTTTATAGGTTATTTTTTATTCTTTGAAGGATAATTGAGGAAGATATATTTCGTTATGATGTCACTAAATATAATTGTACCACACCTTGTATAAAATTTTATACTGTCTGGTTTATAATGTTATAGTATTGCATTTTCGTACAGCAAACTTTCATTCCCTATTCTACTCCCTAAGGGTATAAATTTCATAAATTCGCTTTACCTTTGTGCCAATTTTTATGTGTATAATCCAGAGGTCACCAAGTTTTATATAAACTTTTACTAACTTTACCCATTTGGTTGATGAATTTCAAAAATTTCTTCTAATTCTTTTTGTAGGATTTCATTCTTCTAGACCAAATAGTAAGGAATTTTCATACAACAAACTGTTCCGAGATAATTTTACTCTCTAAGAGGATGAATTTCCTAAAATCGCTTTGTGTAGCTAATTCACTAATGTCGTTTAAACGAACCTTTGTGCTAATATTTATGTATCTAAAGCTGGCGGCATGAACTCACTCTAAAATATCTAAAAACTTAATATATAATCTAACTGACACACCACTGACAATGACAAATAATTTATTTCTGGAGGTATTGTGTGTAGGTGTTTTTCAGGTATGTTTTAGTATTTAGTCGTTTTACACAAAGAAATAGCCATTAAGTACTATAAAAATACTTCATAACAAATCTACACATATATACCTTTCATTTAAAAAAAGAATCATCAAGATTGGTAAAGCGGTTTCGGCGGGATGGATGCAACAAAAAACCCTTTGAGCTTTTATATATGCATGGATTAATTATTTTTCCAACATATTTCGCCAATATCGTACTCCACCGTGTCCAGCCAATCTTCTTCGGCGGCGTCGTGACCCTGGCCGAAGGAAGAGTCTTGAAGACGCTCATCCGCGCATAGGAATAAGTTGACTGCGTAGCGTATTGCGTATTAATCGATTCTGAAACTTTCTATCTCATGTATAACATGTTACGCAAGTTTATTATTTTAATCTCGATTTTAATATATAAATATGTGAAATGCCACCTGAATATCTTCCGCCATGACATGTTTTTACTTTTTTGTTATGGTAAAGTGATTTGTATAAACTTTATTCAATAACGTTTGTGATCTCCATTTGTGATTTTTTAATTTTAAGCGAAAATTAAGTATAACATTTTAGGAAAAAGAAACACTGTAATATTTAAAATACTAAGAAGAAATTAGTCTTATTTTGAAAGGAAAATATAGAAAAAACTCATTCTATAGAAAAAGTCTTTATACTAACCAGAATCCGGTGACATATACGCGGTCTCACCGGAAACATTACTTATTACTTCGCATAACTTGAAGAATGTCTACTTTTAATAATGAACATTTCAGAAATACACCAGTAAAAAATTTATTATTTGAGATTAAAACTCGAATTAAATTATAAATATTAGTTACCTATGTTGTTATAGCTTTTATAGGCCTGTTTAACGACTTAATAAGATACCTAGCGAAAAAATCTGTGCGCGTACCTACCACTATTGTTACAGGTTAATTCGTTAAAGAAATATGTTACACAAGTTAAAAACGCTAAAATTTTAATGGTATTACTTGTGCATTATTGGCCTTATAATGTAATTTGTTGGAATTATATCTTCTTTAAATATAATTAGACTTTTTAACGACTTTTAAGTTACCTAGGAAAAAATCTGTGCACGTACCTACCAGTATTGTTACAGGTTAATTCGTGAAACAAATGTGTTTTACATATTTAGTATACAGATATTTGTCAGGTTTTACTCCTTGTAGATAATCAAAAAGTTTTTGATAAAATTTGTTTATGTCAGATCATTTCTATGAAAAATTACATTAGATTTTTATTAAAGACGCTGGGTAATTAAAACATTGACTAATAAAGCTTGTCCACTTTAAATAAGGGGTCACGAAATATCCTCCTTGGAGTATTTGGGTTAAGGGGTGTATAATAAATTAATCGTTGTTTTATAATAAAAACCATAAAACATTTATTTGTGAGTAAAATAATGCAATGGTTGGATATCTCTCCTTTATAATTAGGTGAC